CGCGCGCGCGCGTTCGTTCTTCCCCCCCTTCACCCGCCCCCCCGCGCCTGTTTGTTTTAGGCTGTTACTTTTCATTTTCGTCGTCGTCTTTTTTTTTGGGGGGGGTACCGTTTATTGGGGACTACCGGTCGCACGCCGGTGGGTACCCCGCGCACACGTACCCCGCGCGACACGGCGCGTTAACGGCCGCGTCGAAGTCTTCAAGCAGGGAGAGGTACTGGTGGTAAGAGTGTGGTATGATCCAGGCACTCCGGCCTGGTGCATATGACAGCCCCTTTTGAATTATAAAAGCCGGAAAACGGGTCCAGCGTCCCTCACATCATAGAAAAGGTTACAATCCATTCCAAAAGTGCACAACAAATCCCTATTGTGATAATCCTAACGAAAAAACAGCCAAAACAACAACAACAACAACAACAACAACAACAACAACAACAACCAACCGTACGAAGGCAAAGCCTACCACCCTTGAATATCAGCCAACCCTGAGATCCACCCTGCCACTGGCACGTCAGGGGTCTGTGACCACAGACCCCACAAACCCATCCACCTCCTCGCTATTCACAACAGATTACTTCACCCCCCACGTTCCCTACCCTAAAACACCAACTCCCTCCATGATGGTGCATCAGCAAACCCTTAGAAATACCCTATCACCTGCGCGGCAGGGGCCAAAGGCCCCGCAAAGCCCACCCACCTGCTCGCGATTTAGGGTAATCCACTCCCCAAATGGGGTCTTCACCTCCCTCCCTGATGAAGATCCTACGGAGCAATGCTCTCTAGTACCATAAGAAAAGGGTGATAGAAAGGACCCCAAACACTTGTGAAGAAACGAACGTGATTCCGAAACATCACCGAACCTGCACAAATGCCCTACCACCTGCGCGACAAGGGTCGAAAAAACCTGCAAGGGTCGAAAGACCTTGCAAACCCACCCTCCTCCTCGTGATTTAGGGCAAACTGTTCCCCCAGTCAGCATCAACCCCCGAAAAACCCCGCCGCCCACCATGATAGGGTCTTTGCATAGCGACACTCCCATCTTTATCTTTCCACTTCACAGTCAACCAAACAACACATACCCAAGCTATAGCCCTCTCTATCCAATGGATTAAACGCCTTCTATTTAACCCCAACACTCC